TTCTTATGACAGAATCCAGATTATCGTGCGGCATGGGTGTAAGCAGCCTTTATTTGAAAAAGACCTCTGTCCCCACAGCCTGAGAAGAGAGGATAGAGATACTTGGTGGACAGGGAATGGTTGCTCAAGAATGTCAAATGCTAATGATTATGTAAGGCCTGGAGTGACCTGATGTGACCTGGTACCCCTTAATGCCAGGGCTTTTTAGAAAACAAGAGTTCGTACAAACAAGAACCTTAACTGAAGGTAATGAAAAATAGTATCGGGGAAATTATTTATTTACATAAATGTCAGGTGAGTATATATTTCACTGTTAAACTTTTACCAGTTCCTGTTGGAATTTAACTTTCAACATATTTTTTTGACCTGAGGTGATTTGTTTTGTGTGGAGAGGAGCTGTATGTGCAAGTCTCTTTGAAGAGAATTCCAATGCACGTTGTGTTGCGGTGTGGCCCAGACAGTGGATTACTAGCTACTGTTGTTCCAAGCTACCAGTGACAGTCACAGTCAGTTACAGATGTCATTGTGAGAACTGTTTTCACACTGTCTCCAGGGGGTGTGTTAGCCCCACTTTGTGTTTTGGGTTTGTCGTCCTTTGGTTAGTGGGTTGGTTGGTTGGTTTTTATTGTTGTGGTTTGGTTGGTTGGTTGACTGGTTGGATGGATGAAGTAAGTAGAGGAGCACCTCCATTCCCGCCTTGTTGATCCACCAGCTGTTTCCCATTCATCCTGACATATTGATCAGAGCATACTACCTTTCACTGCCCTTCTCGGTAAACATTTCTGGGTGTTTTAACTAACTCAGTCAGTCACCCACTCAAAGAGGTGAGCTAGCAGCAGGACAAGCTACTAAAGAGAAAGTTTTTCCTGTTGGAAAGCTGCAGGTTTAGCCAGTTGCATCCTGACACCCTGATGAAGGTTAATTTGGCTCTTCGCCTGTCCTCTCTCCCTGCTGTCCCGAAACAGCCCAGTTTATTTTGATATCTCCCCTCTTTCCTCCTCAAAAACAGTGAGGGCGGGGGCGAAGGGTCCTACCTTGACTTTTTCTTTTTAATTTTCTTTTGAACAAGACAGACTTGGGTAGGGATATTGTAATCACTCAATTTTCCAGCACTCAAATATGACCACACTTTAAACTCAGACTGTGAGAATTGATGGGTCTACTCTATGCCCTTCAGACAGTTGTCCAGGGACTCTGTTTTTCATACCCAAACTTTTAATAAAGTCTGAGATTATGCTGTTATCAAAAAAGGCAGATTCCTGGGCCAGGGATTTAGCTCAGTGGTTCTGCTACCTGCCTTGAAAGGGCAGGGTCCCGAATTCAATCCCCATTACCAAAAAAAAAGGCAGATTCCTGATCTTTAACATGCACAGGGCAGGTCAAGTAGCCTCTTCCAAAAAGGCAAAGGTGCTTTACCAAAACTTGAACCTGAATGGCTACGCAAGGATGTGGGAATCCCCAAAGCCCAATTGGATTGTTTTATTCTGTGCACGTCATTCGACAGAGAGGCTCTGTCCTCGATTGTAGTAACAGGGTAACTGGGCTATTGTGAAAGTAGCGGGAAGTAAAGTATGCAAAGCTACTTCCAAATGGTTCTAATCAAGTGAAAACAGTAAATCTCCCTATTCGTGGGGCTGACAGGTGCAGCAGATGTGGTGTCCCTCCCTTAGGACTGTGACCCTTGCTCGGGCTGCTGGGCCCTCAGATGACCCTTTGCAGGACTTGCCTAGGGCAGAAGTGAGCTCCTTTGCCCAGGGTCAAGCACCACAAGCTCTAGCCTGCACCCACTGACTGAGTGGTTGGTAGCCAGGTGCAAGGGCACAGGCCACCTCCCTGATTTGGGACAACCCCAAAAGGCCACTGCAGGCCCAGGGTCCCTGTAGGATCCAAGGATCAGCTGAGAGAGCCGCTGCTGTGACTGCCCCACTCTCTGTCCCTCTCTCTGCCTCTCTGCTTCTTGTGACCGTGCAGGTGCCGCTCCCTGGGGCTCTGCTGCACACAGATTCTGCGGTGTAGGGGTCCAGGGACCCAGCCAGGGACACATAAGGTTACTGACACCTGGGTGTCCTGGTTGATTGCCACTCTGAAGTGAGCACACTTCAATAAGAGTTACCAAATAGAAAAGGGATAATCATGTGCAAAAGAGAAGATGCGTCCGCACCATCACATCTGTGGGGGACTCGAGAGAGACAGTAAATATCAGCCAGATGATTCACAGGCAGTGTTCACAACTAAACCGTTCAAATCCCAGTTTTACATTAACATCTTTAACTTAAGGGAGGAAATGCTGCTCCAATGTGTCTGATACAGTAGAAAAGCTACAGAGCTCAAGTCAAAGCCCAAATAAACTCCAAACCACAGAGCTGGGGATTTAGCTCAACAGCACAACACCTGCCGCTTCAATCCCTAGTACCAAAAAAAAAAAACCAAAAGATTGGTGGAGGGGCAGCCAGGGACAACGGCTTCCCCTTCAGATAAGACGACAAATGCCACACCTGCAAGGGGCCCTGACTTGGGTGCAAGGCATACCTGTGTCACAGAAATTATTTCATTTTATATTTATAGTTAATTTTACGTAAATTGGTCAACTCACAGTATTGCTAAGATCTGAATCCCTTACGTAAGGAGCTCTAGCTTGTTTCTCTGTCTCTTCCACAGTGATACAATGCTTTGTGCAGATTCTTTCAATCATACACATTCACTGAAGGCTGGGACTGTGGTTCGGGTGTAAAGTGTTCGAGAAGCATGTGCAAGCCCCGGCACCATGAGAGAAGGAAGGAGCCGGTGAAACAGGCTGGACAAAGCTTGTGAGGGACCTGCAGGGCCTCCCTGGGACAGCGCGTGTAGAGGAGGGCTGAGAGGGGTGGGAGATAATGTGGGAGGGGCCAGCGGGAGCCTGGGCAGGCCCCGGGGACCTCCGGAGCGGAGCCGGGCAGTGGATTCTGCCTGTCCCGGGAGAAGCGGCCTCGGAGGGGAGGTGTGCAGGCGGCACCCAGGGCTGGCCTGCAGGAAGAGGGAGGTCAGCGGCAAGGACGTCGGCCCAGGGCCTGTGCGGTCACCTGGGTAGGATTCGGGGAAGACCTGAGTCTGGAGTTTCTGTGACAAAGACTTTTGCTAAGCTTTCCACAGTGCTGAGGGCTACAAAGCTCAGAGAGGAAGGGGGAGAGGAGGGAGGGGAGGAGAGGGAAATAAAAAGAATGAAGGTGTGTTGCATACCTGTTTCAGCTCCCTGCAACGGAAGTCATCGTTAAGGACTGCAAACACGGACGAATAAAAATTATTTTTAAAAAAGTCTAAAATAGTAGAGGAAGTGAAAGAAGGTTGGGGAGGGGGAATCTGATGGTGGTTGGAAAAAGAACAGGGGCAAACAGTACATCCGAGAATGACAGCCAGCTGGAGACTGGGAGAAACCCGAGCCAGAAAGGGAAGCTGGTGACAGTGCATGCGTTGGCTCTGCAGTGACTCTTTGTATAAGCGCATTCGTGTTGCGCCTGATCCCCACATTTCCACATCCAGAATGAACCCGTACAACACTGGGAGGGCAGCATTATGGTCTCAGAGCAGATGGCAGTGCCATTAACCCAGACAACAGAAAGTGCCAGTAATAACTGCTGGGGCGGCGGGGGGCAACAGTGAGAGGAGCAGGATCAAAACTGATAGCCCCGGGGGCTGGGGATTTAGCTCAGTGGTTCCAGCACCTGCCTCACAAGCACAAGGTCCCGAGTTCGATCTCCGGTACCAAAAAAAAAAAAAAAAAAGCAGAAACTGATAGACTGAATGTAGCAGAAGAAGCACACCTTTTGGTGATAGAGGGATGATTGCCAAAAGAAGCTGCTAATAAAACAAATTGAAAGTGGGGGCCGTAGGTAGCCTGCTGATTTTCATTAGAAACCTTTTTGTACTGTTTGATTTATTCCTGCCAAGCACTTTGGTCCAAAACAGGTTAACAATCTAAGTGCATCTGTCCCAGTGATCCATCCCTCCTGATGGAGACATCATATGCAAACATCTGGAAAACAGCAGATGCGAGGAACCAGGTCTTACCTCCCCCGGCGACCACCTGGGGTACCGAGTCACTTCCCTGTTCAGGATAAGCCTGTTCACTTCGGTTATTACAAGTTGAGACAAGGACATTTCAAAGGAGTCTCGCCTCTGGGTTAAGGACACAAAAAATCCAAGTAGAAAATAGGAAATGGGATTTGCATATTAAATCAGAACTTTGAAAATGTTTTTTTGCCTGGCCCAGTATGAAATCAGTCTATGTGTGACCTACATACACATAGGACTAAAGCAAGACTTTTAAAAAATAATACTTAGTCTTACTATTTGCTATGGTCTGAAAATGTCTGCTTCATTCTGTAAATTTGTGGTAATATTGGTCAGTTTAAATGATCTTAATGCACCACTCTCTTGTGACCTACACTTTGCAAAACACTGCTCTGATGAAGTAGTCCTCTTTAGATCAAACAAAGGGCTTATGAAATTTAGACTTATTTTTCCTATCAGCTAAACCTTCCTAGTGGAACTATGTGTTATTGATGTGTTAAAAAAAAATTTGTTCTACAAATTTGGCTTCTCTCATCGTTGCTGGTAGGCATGCCTCCTTTTTTCAAGTTCTGTCTTTTCTTAAAATTTTCCCTTTTTGAAGTCTCTGGTTCTGTGGGGCACATACTAGGCGTAGCTAAATTCATTTCTGGTTTAATTTTAGCTGTATACCAGTTATGCACTAAGGTATGCACATCTATGTCTTGGTTTTTACCCACATATCCATTTGTGTGAACTTGCCACTGGAAGGACAGGTTTCAACCAACCCCTTCCTTCCTTGCTTGTTTCCAAATGTGACAAATTCCAGGTTAAAAGATGCACTGCTCCAAATATCACTTTTGCTGTGCACACATTTTAGCAGAAGCTGTGCCAAGCACAGAATGATCGTGAAACTTGTTGCACTAAATAGGAACGTAACGGACTGATTCATTTGTTTGGATTTTTATTAAATGAAGAACTACAAGACGCTATTGAAGAGGTGCTGCCAAGCTTGAAGAAAGAGGGAGTGTCTGTCTATTACGTCAGCAGGACTTCCAACACGGAGGGGGTTGACTCTTTCCTGGACAAAGTGGATGAAGTATCATCGGAACCCGTCCCAGACTCCTGGAGGTCTGAAGTCACATTTTCTACTCCCGCCTTATACATCTACACTTCTGGAACCACAGGTAAAAAATAAAGACAGGATTTGCAAAGAAACAGACCTATTCTGAAGGAGTTAAGTGTTGGCTTAGGTTTTTAAATATTTTCTTTCTTTGGCAAAACTTCTCTGGCAACTAATGTTTCAGGGGATTTAGCTCTTTGCCCGTGGGAACTGATCTTATTTCATTGCATATGATGTCGTGTGGGTTTCTCCCAGCTACACAGACTTTCCCGCAGTCCATGTGAAACAGATAAAGGAGTTAACCAAGAACTACAGCCAGGTGCCATAGTGTACACCTGTGATCCCAGCAACTCAGGAGGCTGAGGCAGGAGGACTGCAAGTTCAAGGCCAGCCTAGGAAATTTAGGGAGACCTTGTCTCAAAATAAAAAAATTAATAAATAGAAGACTGAGGATGTAGCTCAGTGGTAGAGCACTTGCTGACACAGATTCAATCCCCAGTACCACCAAAAAAAACTACAAAAATAGGGTGACAGATGAGATTTGGCCTTGAATGAATCTGTTGCATTGTGGTTATGTTATACCCAGAATCCATAATGATGTATAATCAGTTACACATGGAACACCAGGGGACAGTCAGGGGTGATATTTATATAAATATTTTGATCAGTTTTCCCATGCAGCAGTGACTCCGAACTGCTTGGTGCACTAGTAAAATACAGTATTTCATTTAATCTAGGATTCCTCCAACTGCGTGCCATTATTTCATGAGCCACCAAGGAAAAGCCCTGCCAGTTAACAGTATTGTTGGAACACTGCTGTGTGGAGCAAGTGACAGTAAGGACAGCGTGTAGGAGCTGTTCTCCTAGGACAGCAATGGCAAACCAGCGCCCAAACGGCAACCCAAACTCACTTATTTGTCTCAAAGCACCAATCTACAATTAAACCTGAATACAGAGGTTTTAGTTTAGAAAACACAACTCATGCATTAACATCTTTTGTTTTAAAAGAAAAACAAGCAGCACATGTGCCATAGGTTCACCACCGGTCCTAGGAGCTTCGAAGCGTCTGCTCTTACGGTTTTCCCACCACCCTTGAGACAGGTGCTGCTGTTCCCATATGACAGCTTCAGAAGCCGGCAGAAGAATTAAGAGCTTCCCTTGCCAAGCAGTAGAAGTGCCAGCCTCACCCTGTAGGCTGACAGCACTGCTTGAACAGTCAACAGCACTGGTGGCAGTGCCCCTGGCTAATTCGGGGCACAAAAGTTCACGGTCTGCCTACTCTAGGCCAGGAAAATGCTGCCCAGTGTAATAACATGGAGCCCGAGCAGGGCAGGAAGCCATCCCCAGGGTGCTGGCTCTTATGATTAATGTTGGGAAAGTGAATGCTACATGAGTCTTTTATCTCTTTTGGTCAAAATGTTCATGTATATAAGCAGGTAGCATGTGCCCACCATCTCCTTATGAAATAATCAAACATTACAGTCAAGGCCAGAGGTTCTGCTGAGCTTTTTACCTCAACACCAGCAACAGGGACTCTTTCCTTGACTTCCTCAGCTGAGCTCGAAGTGATGGAGTCTAAGGTGAATCCTGGCCTTCCCTCGCCCTCTGCCTGCACTGAGTGTCTCCACTGGTTAAGGAGGAGAGGGTCAGGGACAACACAGTAAAGGTGGTGCCTAAAAGCATCATGCCTATCACCGTTTCATCCATCAGAAGTTATACATTGCTAGCCAGGCATGGTGGTGCACACCTATAATCCCTGCACTCTAGGAGGCTGAGGCAGGAGGATGACAAGTTGAAGTTGAAGCCCAGTTTGGGCTATCTAGTGATTTAGCAAGACTCTGTCTCAAAATAGAAAGTAAAAAAAGCTGAGGATGTTGCTCACTGCAAAGCCCTTGAACTCAATCCACAATACCACAAAAAAAGAAGTCATGTGTTCCCATGCCAACAGAAAAGTCAGTGACGTAAATGACCGACTGCTTCCACTGCATATGGATGCTACCTTAATAGACAGGATTTTTAACCTTCATTTTTTTATAGAATAGTGCAACTCAATTTTAAGCTTTGTTTAGGAAGTAATTATCGGGAAATAATGAAGATAAACGAGCTTTTGGTTCATGATGAGGAAGTTCTGTTCCCCATACTGATGATAAGTTTCTCTTGTAAGCATTAATTAACTCATTTAGGCAATAGCAGAACAAAAATGATTTTCCTGTCCCTCAAAAGAAGTCATTAGCACAGAATTATGTAATATTTCTTGAACATTTTGATGTGTTCATTAATATAAAATCTTTTTTAAAATATATAAAATCTTAAGTTAGAAAAGTTCTGGAAGTACTTCAAAACCACAGAAGCGAGTATTTCTTTTTTTAAAAAAGGTAATTCAAAGCTTTCACTAGTCGAAGGGTTTTTTCCAAGGTGAATACAATTGATTTATTGTTGCTTTCTTCTACTTCTTAATGATAGTACAGAATGGGGCATTAATCTTAACCTGGTGCCACTGGACCACTGCCACAGGGGGTGGATTTTGCGTTGTGTGGTTGGGGATGGGCGCTTGCTGGCTGTACTTCTTTGCCTCCTAACAAATCGCCTCTGTGGGCAGTAGCTGGCCACGGTCCTGTCGAGGACGGAGGGCTCTGAGCGGCCAAGATCTGCTTCGCTCAGAGAGCCACTCTCTCGTCTTCCGCCCCAGCCCAGCCCCAGCAGTGGCTTCATGCCCCGCCCCACCGACCTGATTGCCCATGGGGAACAGCATAACCTTGCACTCTTGGTTATGGAAAGTCTTACCCAAAACTGACATAAATTATCACTGAGAAAATGCAAGTGCATTTGATCCAGTGCACGGAAACCACACTGAGATTCCATTTTTCATTTTTCAGATTGGCAAAAAGGCCAGCCTTGGAGAGCCTTTGCTGGCAAGACTTTGAGGATACTGACGGGAGGGTGAGGAGCGGGGCCAGCCCTTAGCGCTGACAGTGTGGCGGTCACCTGTCCAGATAACAGGCTGGAGTCTTCCACCAGGAGCCTCACTCCTGGGAGCTCATCCCACGCACTTGTCGTCCACAGCAGGACCAGCCTCGTCATTCAGAGTAGCACAAGGGCGGAAAGACTGTCGGTTGTGACATTTTCATAGAAAGGCCGTGAGGCAGCAGAGAGCAGGGAAATGAATGAATGGGTAACAGGGAGTATTCAGCGTGGCCAGATCTCCAAGAAACACTGAGGCAGAGAAAAAAGTGCAGAAGGGCGCTTAGACATATTTTAATGGAAAAGGAAAAAGCGTATGTTCGTATTTGCATGTATTTATATAAGGAAACCCTAGAACAGTACATAAGAAATTAGTAAAAGTGGTTATGAAGGAAGTGATTGGATGGATGGGGTATTTATTCTCTAAAATACTTAATCTCTCTCCATTTTACCCTTCTCATCTGTGGACTGGAGGGTGTGATTCTATTTATTTCTTAAGTTTGATGTGAAAATTAAATGAAATTTTGAAAATGTCTTGCCAAGTGGTGGCACAGGGCAGAAACTCCACATGCATTGTCGCTTTCCCTCCCACCGTGCAGTCAATAGTAGCTGTAAAAACTGCCTGACTCAGGCCAGCAAGTTCTGGGCTAAAGGCCAAATGCAGCCCCTGACCTGTGTTTGTAAAGTCTTGAAACTTGGCCACGCTTACCGCCTTATGTGTGTGCATGGCTGCTTTTGACCACAGTGACAGAGCTGAGCCCTTGCCACTGTGACCGTGGGATTCCAGAAAGCCTAGAAAGTTACTCGCTGGTCCTTAAGGAGGAATCCCGGGTCCTGGGGCTAAGGGCACAAGGCCCATCCAGTGCGGCTCTCTAAGCCAGGGATGGCAAATCTTCCCAAGCCAGGCCTCACTCCCAGGCTACAAGCGGCCGATCCGACTCACTAGCACTCCCTCTTGGTGTCTGCACAGGTCTCCCCAAGGCTGCCACCATCAACCATCACCGCATCTGGTTAGGAACTGGGATCAGCATGGCCACTGGCCTCAGGGGCGACGACGTGGTCTACACCACACTGCCCCTGTACCACAGCGCTGCGCTCTTGGTCGGCTTCCATGGCTGCCTCGTGTCTGGTGAGCTCACTCACACACGCACAGCACAGCTGCTCACAGAACTCAGCTGCTCTCCCGTCTGCTAGAGACCGGGCTCATTTCTTCACTAGTAGCCAGGCCGCTTGGCTCCGTCACACAGGCAAGTCTAGCATCCGAAATAAATGTATTTTTTCATCCCTGTTTTTTTAATATTATAATGTGATAATTTTTCAGGATATCTAGGGAGAAAAGCTTTAAAACATTTTCTGCCTTTACCCAATTTAAGACAGCGGATTCTTAGATGCCATAAATAATTCCCTGAATCACTTCCCACTTCAGAAATTCACGCTGATCTCCATCGCGTGAGGTATAAACTTCACCATGGTCTGCGTCCTTCGTTCTTCCTCCCCCACGGCCCCTCTGCTCCTGTCGGGTTACCTGGCCGGCCCTCTCCTCTCTCTGCTTCTCAAACATTCCTCTTTAAAGGGAGTCGCCTGCCTGTCTTCCTCCAGGGATTTATGCTGCTTTTGTACACAGACACAGACCCATAGCAACCCCTTCCAGGAGGCTCGCACTAACTTTCTGAACAAGCTAAAAAACTGAACTTGTTCTCCCATGTGACATTTCATTTTAAATAAACATTTAAAAGCTAGACAAGAGGGCCGGGAATGTAGCTCAGTGGCACCGAGCTGCCTTGAAAGCACAAGGTCCTGAGTTTGATCCCTGGTACTGCAAAAAAAAAAAAAGAAAAAAAAAATGAAACACTGAAAATATTGGGCCAGGGGTTTAGCTCAGTGGTTCCAGCACCTGCCTTGAAAGGACAAGGTTCTGAGTTCAATCCCTGGTACCAAAATTAAAAAATAAAATAAAACAAAAAAAAGCTAGACCATGTTTATTCAAATGAGCTGTGTTATGTATAGCAGGATACACACAAGCACACACACTCACACACATATGCATAGACACATCCAGACTGTACCCCAGAAGGTTCCTGTGTTGGATCCTAATCCCCAGGCAGTGACACTGGAAGACAAGGCCTTCGGGAGTTCACTTGGGAGGTTGTGAACAGGAGCTCTGCAGCCCAGGATGAGCATCCTGACAAGAGAGCTTCCAGGAGAGGATAGCCACTCCCAGTCAGTGTCCTTCCAGGCACATAATTTGCTGGCACTTTGAGTTTGAACTGCTGACCCTCCAGAGCTGTGAGAAACAAACCTTCCATGTTGACCACCCAGCCATGCTCATTTGCTGCTGCCGCTTGTCACTCTGAGCTCTGGGTCAGCTCTAAAGTACCCAGCTCAGCGTCAGCACCAGACTTCAACAGCAAAGAACAGCCGGGCCTGGGCTAGTGCTGGGCCTCCAAGAACAGAGTGACTTCAGCACTGTAAACACTCACTAGAGAAGAGCAGATGATATTTAAGAAAAAAACCCACCTCTCTTCTAAAACATTGGTCTTTGTGTACTTAGAAAAATAAACCAGTGACACGAAAAACTGTTAAAAAGAGTTTTAGAATTCACATTTACTCAAATGCCTACAGTTAAGTTGAAAGTGAGGTTATTTTTACCCCACTGTATTAGTTTCCCATTGCTGCTGTAACAACTTACCATGAACTCAGTAGCTTCAAACAACACGGATTTCCTCTTGTCCTGCCATGGTGATCAGACATCCTCCTCTCAGCACCCTGTGACTCCACTGGGCACACCCAGATGATCAGAATGATCTTCCTACCTCAAGACCTTTAACTTACTCAAGTCTAGGAAATCCCTCCTGCCCAGGAAGGTAGCATATTCACAGGTTCTGGGGATTAGGGTGTGGCCATCTTTGGGAACCATTATTCCATCTACCTCATCCATCAAAGATCACCTTCTCCACCTGCTCAAGACCTTGGCCCTTCCAGACGCTCCCCTAGCATCTGCACCCCTAGCCATTTCTCCAAGTGCATCTCCCATGGCTCACCCACCCTCTGCACACTCCCAGTCCCAGGCCAACAATCTTGGCCATCCCCAACACCTTCCAGACGACCTGCGCTTGGTTCAAGCTTTGCCTCTGCCTAGTATTCTCTCATCTCTCTCCATATTCATAACTCAAATCCTTCCTTTCCTAAAATACACCCTTCTCAACCATTACCCTCAAGGAGAATTAATACTCTCTCTTTCTCTCTCTCTCTCTTTCTCTATCTCTCTCCCCTTTCCTCCCTTTCTCTCCCTGTATCTTGCTCATTTTATGCACTGAATATAATATGTACTCAACATTTGTTTGTGAGTAGAATTCATTTTAAAATCTCTACCTCTGAAAAATGACAAATATAAGATCTTCTGTAGCATTCCTTTATTGACGCTTTCCGTGCCTTTTCTGTAGGTGCTACAATGGTTTTGCGGAAGAAATTTTCAGCCAGCCAGTTTTGGGATGACTGCAGAAAATACAACGTGACCGTCATTCAGTATATTGGAGAACTGCTCCGCTATTTGTGCAACACACCCCCGGTAACACTGCCTCGTTTTATTATCTTGTTGAGATGGATAAGATGGGAGTTCAAGTGACGTGGGCTTGTGTGAGGCTCCAGCCGACTTGGAAATAGCAGTTTTCTGTTCAGTCCATATTTGCCGTGATCAAGGGCTTGACCCCATACTTCCGGTATTAATTTTATTATGATTACTACTCCCGGCCTTGTTACTGTCTCCACGTCTTAGCCTCTGCATAGTGCATCCTCTTCCCTCTCTCCTTAGGAAAAGTCTCCATCAAAGCCGAGCTCAGACGATAGCTCGTGCATTAAACCTGGCTGAGCCTCTGGGACTGATGTCCTTGCTCCTGTCCCACACCACTCTGTCCCTTATGCGTGTGGCTCACACAGCAGCTCTGCGTCTTTTCCTAGTTCTCTTCCTTCCAGGCCTCTGAGTTTTTGAAATCAGGGGCCACATCTTGTCTTCTTGTCCCCCCAAATACCGAGGGTGTGCAGGAAAACGCTACTTAATGTTTAATGAAAAAATCCCCACCTAGGTGCCAAAAAATAAGGTCATTTATTGATTGGAATGAGAAATTGATAAAACTGAGTGTTTTTCATCCTCCATTTAGGAACTGAGCTGTAGTAAGGGGTCTAAATGTGGTGGGGGAGAAGAGGAAGAGGAGAGGAGGGATATACGAGAGTTCGAACAGCCAGGCAAAGTGGTGCAGGCCCAGAATCCCAGCACTCTGGGAGGCGGAGGCAGGAGGATTGCAATTTCAAGCATAGGTGACTTAGCAACTTTAGCATGGCCCTGTCTTCAAAACACAACAGCTGGGGTTGTAGCTATGCCAAGACCCCAGTGAGACACACACACACACGCACAAACTTCTAGGAGCTACAAGAAAAAGAAACGCAGTATGGAAGGGGGTATAAGATGAAGCAGAACCCTGCAGAGCTGAACAGACTCGCATTGTCTGCCTTCCCTCCAGTACGAGGTGACCTCATGGTCCCATCTAGCCTGAGTCCCCTGCATCAGTGGGAAATGGGACAGAGGGGCTATGGCAGCACCAGGTTGCCTGGAAGTGGAGAAATCAAGGCAGAGGGGAGTCAGGAAGGCTTGCCAGAGGAGGGGAGGTTTGAAGGGGTAGCATCCTCCACCCAGGCAGTGAGTGGGATGTGAGGGCTGCAGCCAGGGATGAGGGCTTTGCTGCGCTGTGACATCACTGTGAACAGGACAAGTCCAGCCCAAGGCCCCAGGTGGGAGGCGGGAGGTGGTGCCTCAGATCGGTCAGGAGGAAGCCGCTGGTAACGAAGACAGGGGTTCTCATCCAGGTTGAAGGACAGCACACAGGGGTTAAGGATGGGGCCTCAGCACAATTCACAGTAGCTGAGGTGTGAACTCAGCCTGAGTGCCCATCAGCAGATGAGTGGGTAAGGAAAATGTGAAGGAATATTACTCAGCCATAAAGAAAAACAAAGTCAGGTCTTACAGGAAAACAGATGGAACTGGAGACCATTATGTTAAGTGACATAAACCAGACTCAGAAAGTTAAATATTGTAAGCTTTCTCTTATATGAGGAATTTTTTTTTAATTTTTGAGAGACAGAATCTCACTATGTAGTTCAGGTTAGCCTTAAACTCACTGTGTATGTAGCCCAGGCTGGCCTTGAACTCACAGCAATCCTTCTGCCTTAGCCTCCTGAGTGCTGAGATTATAGGCATGCACCACCATGCCCAGTTTGAGGAATCTTTAAAAGAAAAAAAAAAAAGAGTTGACAGAAAAGTAGAAGGTAGACTATTAGAGTCAAGGAAGAGAATCAGAAAAGGACAGAGAGGGGGAAGGAGCCACAGGAGATGAAAATAATCAAACATGTGTATAAGCCAGCATGCCACAACAAAACCCATTATTCTATATTATGTGCTAAGAAAATTTTAAACATTAAATTTTTTGAAAAACATAACCTCAGGAATTTTCACCTCTTGAAAGTCACCCCAAAGCAAGGAAAACAAGAAAAGACATACTAGCTCCATTATGTAAGAAGTTAAAAGACATTGCAACCATGAACTCCACAGCTGAAAGCTGGTGGATCAGACACAGTAGGGCTGAGGAAGGCAAAACTCCAAAGGCAAAAGCCACAATTATATCTAAGGTGAGAGAGAGAGAAAGGGAGAGACAGAGACAGAAGCAGAGAGAGAGATTCTCTAAGAACAACACTGGAATTGCCTACAGCGGTACATGCCAGAAGGAAGACAAAGACAAAGGAATGATGCTTTCAGATTCTAAAGAAAAGTTACTGCCCATCTCAAATTCTGTACCCAGCTGTAGTATCAACCAGCTGTGCAATAAGAATATATCAAAGTCTCAACAAAAGCAAAAACAAAAACAAAACCCTGACTTCTACACATGCTCCTTCTAGAAGTTGTGAGAGAAAGTGTCCCATCCAAACAAGAGAGTGAAAACAGAAAGACACAGGGTCCAGGAAAGAGACAGAGGGAACCCAGCCCTAGAGAGCAGCTAGTCCAGGCTGGAGCAGGAGAACAAAAGGAAGCAGAATGGGGAAAAAGAAAGTGTGTCACGCAGTTATTTCCCGTTGAGGGAAATTGTGTTTGCAAACTAATGGAGAGTGAGGAAAGACAAATAGAAACTGAGAAGGGGAAGAGAACAAGCAGGGAGGCAGTTCATTCCAGAAAAAACAAACATGTTCGGGAGTTTATTTGTAATATATTACTTGGTTCATTGGTAGTGTATTATGGGCAAAGTAATATGAGTGCTGAATTTTGATTTTGAATTTTGATTTAACTGGAAAAATAGGCCAGGAGAGCACTGAATTCTGATCTAGCACAATAGGAAATTTAAAATTGATGAATGAAGTGATAGCAACATATGCATTTAATTTAGTGATGTGAAGATATGAAGAAACAGTACCAGAGTTCAATGTGTACCCCTCTAGTAGGGGTGCAGGACACCAGCGTCTTCATTAAGAGTCTTTCAGTACTATCTGGCTCTTAAACTAGATGTTTCACTCTCTTTATTACTCTCACTCTCTCTTTTTTTTTGTTAAACTCAGGAAAAGTGCTCTCTGAAGTCAGATAGGTTTGGATTTGAATCTTGCACCATATCGTGCTGTCTTTGTGGTCTTGGGCTCATTTATAAGTTTCCCAGGGCTCCATGTCCCCAGGGGTAACATGAGGCACATTATGACCTGTCACAGTTTGGATGAGTGTGTAAGAAACCTCGGGAAGGTCACACAGGCCAAAGCCTGACACCAACACGTGTTCCGTTCACTTTAATTACCTGGCCCACTGCGTTCCCCCGACACCCTGCCCTCTTGCCCTTCGTCAATCCTGGACCCAGTGTGCACCAAAACCCCAGGGTTACACCTCAGTAAGAATGTGTCCTGGAAGCTTTGATCCTTTGATCCTAAATGAAATGAGCAGGTGACCCTTGACCTAAAGCCTGTCCCTTGGAAGAGGGACTTTGGTGGCAGAAAAGCACTGTTTCCCCTAGGAAAGGAGAACTGAGTCCCACTCCACTCTTGGCCACCAGTGAGCCAAAGCAAAGGTGAGAACCAGATACCTTAGAAGCTTCCAGGACCTCCTCCTTGTGTCCCCAAACATTTCCAGTGCAGAGCCTTAATCCCCTCCACCCCCAGCTGGGTGCTGAAAACTGACCCAGTGGCATTGTGATGCTAAGCCCAGCTACTGCCACCCCAGGTGACAGCTACACCTGTGATTCTGGCCAGCTGCCCATGCACCCAGAGCACCTGTGCCTCCTGCATGCTTTGCCCTGCCCTGTGCCCATGGCCCTTCGCCAGGTACAGAACAGGGAAACCAAGGGCTTCCTGGACAAGGTCAACTGCGTTCCCTCGGGATTATGCTGCGTGCAAAGCCCAGATCCAGGCCCTGTGGAGATGCAGAGCTGCAGTGGCTCTGGAGGAGGGGAGAGGTGACCACCGGACGAGGAGGGAGCAGAGTATGCAGGGTATGGCATCGGGCCGGTCTTGGGCCTACACATGGGGGGCTTCGGAGCTGCTCATGCGGGCCTGGGACTGGAAGCACCTAGTCAGGGGGGACCTCTAAGGAAAAGTAAGTATTCCTCAAGGATACATCCCAGTGGAAACACCTGAGAGAAACAGGGTCGCCGTGACCCCAGGCAGAGGCAAAATGGGCCTCACCAACAGGCACAGGACCTCTCTTTGCCCCGCCCTCGGTCATAGGAAAGGGAAGCCCATTCCATGACCACTGGACCTGGGGAGCTGAGGAAGAGCACCCAGGCCCCTGCAGGTTCACGGTGCTTCTCGGGAGATGCTCCTGACCCTGATCCTGACTAGAGGGCCCAGGTCTCCTCGCCCGTCCCCTCAGGCAGCTCAGGGGCCATCTCCAGCAGTGACTGGAACTGCCCACCTGTCCAGTTAGAGCTCCTGAGCGCGCTTTGCCCCCTGAGTCCGCCATGCCCCCGGCCCCGCTGCTGCTTCTGCAGGGAACCAGCGCAGAGTTTGTTCGGCCTCGGCACTCTGCTGCCACCTCAAAGTCCCTCTCCTCAGGACTGCCAGCTGCTCTCTTCAAATTGTTCTTTACAGAGAGTGACTCATGCTCCAGAATCCCTTCACAGGGTGGGAAATAATGTAGAAAATACTCTGATTTGAGCAATTGCTATGTGACCCACTTAACTGACATTGGATGGGAGAGGAGAGTCCTAATTACCTAGCACTTTTACCCCATTTCTATTGTTTTCTGCTCAAAGGTCATGAGGTAGCAGAATTTGCAAGCTAAGATTATACATATTTACCTATGTCTTCCACCAGGCTGCGATCCCCCAGGGCACAGAACCACCTTACAGGATAAGCCAGTTGGAACTACCATTGGTCGGGCGTGCCAAACCGCTGGGGCCTCCGATAGCATGGCTGGGGAGACAGTGCAGTCCTCACCCCACCTCTTGAGCTCTCCCCCTGCTTACGCTCAAAATAGCTTTTCCTTTGTGGTTTTTATTTGTAGCAAAGCATCTTCTCCCCAGGCCACCTGAGCACCTGGGAGCCAGCTTCCTGCTTGTCTTCCTTTCCATCCCATAGGGACAGTCTTGCTGGTTCTTCAGGGCTAACTGGCCCTGGTCCTGCTCATAATAGAAAGTGTCCATCTCTGACAATCACACAGCCCTTCTCATCTAGCAACTGATTGATATTTACCTGCCCCATCAACAAAGCTGTCAACACTATTCCGGATTTGTGTTGGATGTGGGTTCGTGCTTGGCAGAGTCTGGTTCCGTCCGAGGGTCTCGTGTTCCCCCTTGAAGTGAGGACCTCAGAGTAGAAGGGAGACTCTTAGAGAAGGGGGCAGGAAAGACAAAGAGGCTCTGGGCTGTAAAAATAATCAAAGAATGTCACACACGTGTGTGAATATGCCAACCAGAGCCTACCATTCTGCACAACCTGCATGCACTAATAATGTAAAGATCAAATTACAAAGATAGAAATGAGAAAAGCAAGTCTTTGGGTTCAGAGTTGAAGTGAGAGTTCCAGCTGTCAGGCCAGAATGCTCATGTTGGAGAGAGGAGATGATGCCACACATGGCAGAAAAGGCTGCGCCAAGGTGAGTGGTAACCAACACAGATGCAGGCAGCTGAGCCAAGTGCAGTGGCTCACGCCTGTGTTCCTAGTGCTCTGAGAGGCTGAGGCAGGAAGATCACAAATCTGAACCCAGCCTGGGGCAATTAGCAACTTAGCAAGACCAAAGGCAACTATTTGTATAAATTAGATACGTAGAAAAGAAAGGCAATTGTTAACATACAATGAGTACAATTATTACTGTGTAAGTGCAGGCCCTGGGATGGCCCTGGGGTGTTTCAGCTTAGTCCCTTCTTCTCCTTCCACCACAGAAACCAAATGATCGGGACCATAAAGTAAGGGTGGCCCTGGGCAACGGCCTGCGTGCAGACGTGTGGAGAGAATTCATCAGGAGATTTGGGGACATCCAAATCTACGAGTTCTATGCTTCCACGGAAGGCAACATCGGGTTTCTGAATTACCCGAGGAAGATCGGCGCGATTGGAAGAATGAACTACCTGCAAAAAGTTAAGTTGTTGGAAAATGGTTTGCAGCGTACAGAGATTTCTTAAAAGTTGTGTCCTGCTGGTGCGGTTGTCAGAATTTCAGACAGCATCAGAGCCGGGTTCCATCTGCGTCACCAAGAAAATTCTGGCTCTTTCTCTGTGACAATGACCTCAAAAAAGGTCATCTCTGTTAAAAACATTTCACTTTCTGTTAATAACAACTCCCTATTCCTTGGCCATCTGCAATTACATGGAGTTGTTCAGGAAGACTTGGGCGTGATAGAGCTGAAGCTGCTGATTCTCGAGTCCCTGGCCCCTGGGGAGGCTGCAGCTCCCCCTGCCTGAGCTGTGGGCTCCCTCGTGCTGAAGTTGGGCACAGATGTTGTTTAAGAGCAGTGCAGACATAAGACCCAATATTTACAAGGTGTGATCAAAAAATATAGTGACTTGGGATTTTAAAAATTTATGACAGTAAAAGACACATTACCATGAATCCCCCTCCAAATCCTCCCTTGCTTCAAACACTCGCATCCCATCGTCCGTGCCACTTTCTGCAGCAGCTCTGGCATCCTCTTCCCTGAGTGTCTTTAGTTCCACTGTCGTGGCTGCCTCGATGACCTGAATAGTTTAAAATGTTGACATTTCACCGTCATTTTGACTGAGGTTGCCAGAGGTTGCAGGGCGCCAGATCCGGTGAATAAGGTAGATGAGGACTCACTGTCAGGTTTTTACAAACCTGCCTTTCCATTGGATGGCACTTGGCAGTGGTATTCACCGTATCTTTTTATTACACCTCCTAAAGACACCCAGAAAATTTTGACATTATTCCAAATAAGTAAGATCTATATTTGTTGACAATGTGTTTTTTAATGAAGTTATCTGCTCCTGCTAAAGTGTATGATCGGTTACTTGATCCAATGGACTTGAGTGTAAATTTGAAATGGATACATTAATCATGACTAACAATTACATACAAAGACTGCCATATTTGCAATTTTCCATTAGCAGGGAAAATAATATATTTAAGCCAGGGCATGGTGGCACACACCTATAATCCCAGCACGTGGGAGGCTGAGGCAGGAGGATTGCTATGAGTTCAAGAGCAGCCCAGGCTACATAGTGAGTTCAAGTCCAGCCTGAGCTACACAACAAGACCCTGTCTCAAAAAAAAAAAAAAA